TGACATGGCAGCGGCAGCAATTGAAAGCTTAGCCTATGGATTTCAAGTTGTCCGAAATAAACAATTTTTATTTTTATTTTTTTTATTTTTTTTTTATTTTTTTTTTTTTATTTTAGCCACTGCGCTAGCGAGAAATATTGCTGGTATTCTTCGAACTTTTAATTAGTGAAAACAGTTTTATTACGTTCGGTAATTTCATTACGTAACGGTAAATAAAACAAATATGTATTTGAATGTACAAGCGATCCGCACCAGCTTCGCGGGTGATTTCTGGATCTCGACAGCAGCGATACATATTGGATCCAACTAAAGTTAATAACTATAAGGCTGATTCCATAAGTACCTACCCCGTAAAAAATCATGAAATTGTTTAGGAGGAAAGTAATTACTAACACTGGCACACCGGAATTTTAGGATAATTAAAAATAATATTAATATTATTGCTTCAATACTATGGACTAAATTTGTATATTTATAAAAACTTAAAAAATATCGATGATAGCGTGTATTTCCTAGTGTAGTGGAGTTGGGGGTAGTATTGTTGAATTTATCTTCTCAGTTAATTAATTTTCACATCTTTAATGTGAACTTCGTGAATTTTAGTTCTGCGTTTCTGATGGATTTTTCGCTTTCTTTTCGGCTGCAAGAACTTAATCGTGACTAGGGTTTTTCATGTCTCGACTTATTTTTTTTTTCTCGAATCTCGGGAGTTTTCTAAAGAACTTTTCGAGAATTCTTGAGTTGTTGTGTGAGAAATTTTAAAATATTTAAAAGAAGTCATAGAATTGACAAAATAAAATTACGCTTTTTCATAATTATCAACATTTATTAATTAATAGCGAACAGCCCACCGGGTCCTAATGTAAATTTAAACCATCAAGGGATCCATTTTAACAAAAAAAAAGTTCATCAAAATCGGTTGAGCCGTTTTTAAGTTTTAGCTAGAATAATGGACAGCAATTTATTTTTATATAGGTGTAGAGATTTAGATTTTTTAAGGTCATTATTTATTATATTTAATATTATGTTAATTATGTAGCATAGTTCAACAGTATGTAAGTACCTTCATAAAAACAATGCTTGAATTATCGTTACATACATATATTTTACTTTTAACTAAATAGAAATTTTAAAGATAAAAATTAACATCTATTTTTTCTTTTAATTAGGTAGAAATTTTAATCTCAGAATAAAAGATAAAGATTTACAATCAACTACAAAATCTAAGTACCTAGACTCTTAATTATGCATACATCACAGAACAAAAGGTAAAAATAATAGCTAAAAAGGAACTTGTACTTTAATGCCTAGTAAAAAATACAAAGAGGGACTGATTTAATTTAAGATACATTAAAATATTTATTTGAAATCTACGATAGCAGGAACCTATTCGGTCAATTAAAACGCAACGTTTAACATTTAACGACGGTGACAATCTTTCTGCAAAACCAAACGTAGATTTCTTTACTCATGTGGTAGGGTTTCGTAGTGTAGATAGTATATTGGTATCGTTATGCTAATAAATGTGACCTCTGCCACTCGGTGCCCGGTGTCGAACGCACATCCATATAGAAACATGTTGCAGCAATCGACCTTGCATTTTGACCGCCAGCAATTTCGGAAATCTATTTTTAATTTGTCGTTAGACGTTTCACTTCAAGTTCATCTCTACGACAACACTTAATAATAATGTTTTCCAGAACGAAGTTCGGTCACGGCGACCAGTCTCAAAAGAGACTAGCCATCTGCTCACGACAGGATTACAATGCACGAGTGTGTGCGTGGTATAGGTGTACACTCTTTCTCTTACTCTAATAGCCCAATGCTACGGCAATCCGGCACGATCTGAGAGAACTCAGGCTCAATTTTCAATGGCGGGGGTGAAGCAACGCCAACATCTCCGGACAGCTTCTGAAAATTTCTTCAACGAAAAACCAAATAACTGATTCTGGCCCGACCCTGCGTCGAACTCGAATCCAATTCTGATTTGAATCCAGAACCACATGAAAAAAAGCAACATCAGAAACAAAAAATATCCCCATGATTGTACTAAAATAACATTACAATTAAACTATCGTATACAATACAATGCTCCAATGTGCACTTGCACCTAGTGAAGAACCAAATGTGCAAGGAAAATAAAAATTGTTTTAAATTATGTCATTACAAAGAAATGTCAATAAGGACAAAATATCGTATCGCAATACATATCGATTACTCATTTACAAAACCATTTCAATAATTACGTCGGCGGTGCACTATGACGAATTTGTGTCACTGGTTCAATGCGAACAACGTACACCGCGGAAATTTTGACAAAACGTTCCGGTTGATTGTTTAAAATTTAAACTAGCTTTTACTCGAGTCTTTGGTAACATGGACTTTGCTTTAACAACTTCATTAGTACTCCACGCCGAAATTTAGGATCACCTCGTTGGCTGTCAGTGAGTCTGTCTATAACAAACTTTCTTCTCAGGGAATTGGTAATAATAATTTAATTTAAATTCATAAATTTTTTCCCAGTGTATATTTAAAATTTATTAATAATTCGACCACAGCGCCACCTATTGGGTTCAGATTTTATTATTTTCTTTTTTGACACTAAACCAACAACAAATTAAAAAAAAACAAATATTAAATTGTTAATATGAGTCATTTAAGTCCAGGGTGAAACAGGATTTCTAAATAACTTGACTACTTCGACTCCTATCGAGGGCCCCGAACGCCTAGTAATGTAACCTTAACTCGGAAGTAGTCTTAAGACATCATGATAGCACTGTGAGGGTGCTGGGGGCAGTAAGTGCTGCTCCCGCGACGTGCTTCTCGTGCTAATCGAACAAAGCGATAGAGGAGCTCCGATTACATTCCGAATGAAGATCCCCGGCCCCGGAAACCCTTGTATACATGGGTGAGACCGTGGGGCATTAGCCGGTAGGAGTTCGGCATAACCTTTCCATCACCCTCGCAGTCAAAGGTATGCATGAGGATTTTCTCACGAAAAAAGATCCGATAGTTTTATAATCCGTGGATAACGCTGCAGTCAATTTATTAAGTTCTGTATATAGTAGCCAAATTAATTTATATTCACTATATAATAGGTTGTTTTAATATCAAAAAGGAAATAATAAATTCTAAACCCGACAAATAGCCCTGCGGTCGAGTTACACATATATAAATCAAACAAAGAATACACTGTTTTTACACAGTAACAGTCCGGAGTGAATTCAGAGTGAAACTTGTCACTATCGGAAAGGCAAACAGAACAACGCAACGTCTGCCCAGCCAGCTTGTTAGTACTATGATCAAACCAATTCTTTAATATTAATGTTGCCAACACAGAGGAATATCAAAATAAATTTAATATTAAGATCTGATGAACTTAATTGGCATTTCAAATAGCAGTTATATAAATGGGACGTAATCCTATTTTGTAGTTTAGTACCCTAGTAACAAAGCGTTGTTTTCCGGCGCTGCAGGGCCGCGGGGTCGAATCCAACACGAAACAAATGTTAATGGCCTACGAAAAATTTTTCCTAGTTTGGGTGTTTGTGAACTTTTGTTTTTAAAACACCTCAATACTGGAGAACATCCCATTGTGGAGATAATATTGATTAAAAAAAACTCGGAGATATACAAATTTATTTAAAAGAAAGATATAAAAAGAAATTCAAATAAATGAAAAATTAAAACATAGACATTATGTATACTTTCTGTATCTATTGTTTCCAGGGTCTCTCTCGGCTACGGGTCTGATCAGATCATACAATACCTACCTTATGTCGGCTCTAGTACGGGTCGGATTAGATCAGAAGTACTGCCCTATGAACTATTTTTTTAAAACTATTTTTTCGTTTTAAACAAAACCAAAGACAATATGCAAAGATAATAGTATCAAAGACAAAGATATGCTCTTTTATTTTAAACCATAACCTGGCAATGTTTCTTAGAAAAAAAAAAAGAAATCACTCTGAACTTTCGGCGTTCCACGTGTCGCTTTGATGAAGGTGCTCCGAATTTTTTATAGAATTTTGTATTTGTGTCTGGACTAAAAACGAAAGTATTATACTTTTTTTATATTCCTTGTAATATAGTAAACGCGTAGATATATAATTTGTGGTATAAAAAGTGAAAAGTAAATTGCCAAAAGTACTTCAAAATCCGGAAGGCCCATTTTGGCGGTTGGGTCATAAATGTGTTATTTTTCAAATTCTCATTTATTTTTAGTGTAAAATGTAAGTAAAAATAGTTTTCTTACATATTTCAAATAACTTGACGTTGTATTTATTTCAAATTCACACAAAACTATTTTTGAAATATTGTTCGAAATGTCATACAGATAAAATATTATTTTTTTTTAAATTTTTTAATATTTTAATATTTTGGTGTGAGTAACGAATAGAAACACATAAAACATAAAAATATACATATTTCCAAACATTTTCATATAAATTTCTCCAAAAACAAAAGTGTAGAATTCAAATTAGTAGTAATTTTGTCACTAAAATTGAAGTATATACTACTACTATGCTATACAGGGTAATTTATGTATTTTATTACAATTTCTAGCAACCAAAAATAATTTTATTCGATAGTTTATACATTCAACAAGAATTCCTGTAAGTTTTATCCATAAATATTGTCTCAAAGTGAAAATATAGCACAATTTGCAATATAGCAAAAAATTTTCTAACTTACAAATTTTCCCGCCATTAAGGGCCCGAGCGAACGGGAGTATAACATGTCGCGCGCTGTCAGAGCTTACGGGAACATCAAATTCAAATCCATTTATTTATTTGTGAATACAGTGAGCTAGGTGAAAAACCTACAACCATACTACCTACACCAAATGTACAAAAATATTTTTTAAAAAATTGTTCCTTGAAAATATAATATGATTTTCTACGAAAAAGTGAACAAATTAGCTTATGTTTTTCGAATATTATAGTACTTATTACAACTTACCTTAAATACTATCTTGGCCTTCTCCATTTTTTTTCTGATTATGATCTTTTCCTGAACTCCAACAACCTGTAAAAAAAGAAAACATTCAGGTATTAATTTTGTGTTTTACTAAATATAGACGCATCGTAGAGCTAAATCATCATCATCATCATTACAGCCCTTCACAAGTCCACTGCTGAACATAGGCCTCCCCCAAGTAATGCCACAAAGCACGGTCCTGAGCCACCTGCATCCATCGTCTTCCTGCATGTCTTACCAGGTCGTCACTCCATCTAGTGGGGGGTCGCCCTACACCTACCGGTACGAGGCTGCCACTCGAGAACGTTTCTTCCCCATCGGTTATCGGTTCTTCGAGCTATATGGCCGGCCCATTGCCACTTCAGCTTACTAATCCGTTGGGCTATGTCGGTCACTCTGGTTTTACTGCGGATATCCTCATTTCTGAGTCTATCACGCAGTGAAACTCCGAGCACAGCCCTCTCCACAGCTCGCTGAGCGACCTTGAGCGTCCTCATACGGCCAGCAGTGAAGGACCACGTCTCAGATCCGTAAATCATCACTGGCAACACGCACTGGTTATACACTTTAGTTTTCAGAGATTGAGGTATACCTGACGAGAAGATATGTCGTAATTTCCCGAACGCTGCCCAGCCGAGTTGAATCCGTCGATTGACCTCTCGGTCGAAGTTGGACTTACCTAGTCGGACTATTTGTCCCAGGTAAACGTACTCGTCAACAACTTCGAGCATAGTGCTCCCAACAACTACCGGCATAGGTGTGACATGGACATTAAACATGATCTTTGCTTTGTCCATGTTCATCTTAAGACCTATCCGTTGGGAGGCACTATTGAGGTCATTGAGCATAGTACTAAGGTCCTCCAGCGATTCTGCCATAAGGACTATATCGTCGGCAAATCGAAGGTGAGTGATGTACTCGCCATTGATGTTAATACCGTATCCTTTTCCAGTCCAGTAGCTTGAAAACGTCTTCCAACGCAGCGGTGAAGAGTTTCGGGGATATAAACATCACCCTGTCTTACACCTCTCTGCAGTTGGATAGGTTTCGAACTCTGGTTCTGTACTCGGGTAGCCATCGTAGCCCTACTGTATAAACACTTCAGCACTTCGATATACCGACAGTCAACTTGGCACCGCTGAAGGGACTGTAGCACCGCCCAAATTTCGACGGAATCAAAGGCTTTCTCATAGTCCACATATGCCAGGCAAAGTGGCAGATTGTACTCTTCGGTCTTCTGTACAATCTGCCGCAGGGTATGTATGTGGTTCTATGGTACTGAAGCCTTTTCGGAAACCGGCTTGTTCGGGAGGCTGGAAGTCGTCGAGTCTGCGTGCGAGACGATTCGTAATGACTCTCGAAAACAGCACGTAGACGCGGCTCAGAAGGGAAATCGGTCTGTAGTTCTTCAAGAGAGCGTTGTCGTCTTTCTTAAAGAACAAGACCACCGCGCTTCTGCTCCACGCCTCCGGTGTAGTGCCACCATGGAGGACGGAATTGAAGAGCTTCTGAAGGACTTCAAGTACCGGTGTTCCACCCGCTTTCAGAAGCTCCGCTGTAACTCCATCCTCGCCCGGGGCCTTGCCGTTTTTAAGGTGGTGGAGAGCCATTCTAATCTCGCTCAGACTGACGTCCGGGATATCATCGGAATAGTGTCGGATAAGACTTGCTCTTGGATCGATACTCACACTTGCGTGTGGCTCCAACGATGATGTGTACAGCTGCCCATAGAACCTCTCAATCTCACTCAGAATCTCAGGTGTCCCGGAAACGATGTTGCCACACTCAGTCTTCAGCCTTGACAGTTGGCTCTTTCTGGCAGACAGATCTCTGGCAAAGACTTTGGAGCCCCGGTTCCGCTCGATCGCTTCTTTAATACGAGCAGTATTAAGGTTGCGTAAGTCTCGCCGCATGCATTTGGAGATCTGTCTGTTCAGTTGCCTGTATGCTGTCAAATCTGTTGACGGTTGCAGCCTCATCTCCCGTCTAACAGCCATGAGATTAAGAGTGTGATCGGAGAGTTTTTGTGTTCTTCTGCGGCGGGTCTTGCAGAACTTAGCTCCGACCGCATGGACAGTTTCCACGAGCTTGTCATTCATATCGTCCACTGCATTGCAATCCTCTAGGCACTGAAAGCGGTTTTGTAACTCGAGCTGAAAGGTTTCGGGATTCTGGATTAGAGAGCTAAATAGTGTTAGACTTTTACGTTGGACCAAAAATAACGTGATTATAACAAGTTATGTCAATTAAGTTATGTCATACAACCAAATAACTTTTTTTAAATAATTTTTCAATATGAAACTGCGTTGAAACATCTTTTATAACTGTTCAATATATATTTTACAATTATAATAATGTACTTTGTAGTTTAGTTTAATAAAATGTGTTATTTGTTTTATTTAAGCTACATTTTCATAGTTTGTAATCAACCTTTCTATTAATTTTATGTCAGACCATGAACCTAGCACAATATTATATCTTTCACTCATTTATACTATCATAATACTAGGTGCAACAATCCTTTCTTCTCAGGCATTTTATCTTGCTCTCAAAGATGACAATACATGTAGGCCAAACATTTGATTTCAGGTGTCCATATGCTGTAAGTAGCCACTTACCAAAATATAACACTATTAATAAAGTAGCTTTTCTAAAGATTCAGCGTTACATGGAATACTTTCTGTTTGCTTTTAACGGTCAAGTATTTCAACTTGAATGTCATATTACGACCGATAGCTACATTAACCTTATATTTTGCACGTCAGGTGCCTGACTCAATGTTAATGGCGACACATGCCATTTACCGGTATCATAACTGTATTTATCAGAAAACTGTAGGTATTGATATTAGTTTAATAATATGTACACCGTCTGAACTGAAATCGACACGAACTGATGGAATGGCCGTATCATACACTTGATCACGTCGAATGAGTGGCCAGATAATTTCAGTAATAATACCTATATTGCAGCTATTAAGCCTTTCGCCTCGTTATTATAAGCTGTTTATCCTGGCGTCAGCACCAGGTCATGTCCAAATAATTGTATTGCCATCGACTTTTGATATGATAAACTTAAAGTCAATCTGGAATATGTAACCGTCGTTGTTTTTACTAAAATTCTGGTTTAAACACCTAAATAATTTAGATTTTTCTTTATAATTGTTTTAAATAAATCTTGTTACTGAGAGGGTTGAGTTGTAAGTCCCACCACACCCGCACTACTTCAGTAACATGTCAATGAAGTTCATATCGTTTTGACATAAAAATATTTTATAGACGTGCAGGTTTCCTCAGTATGTTTTCCTTCACCATCAAACACGAGGTGAAACGGAATTTAATATCAAGTTTATGTACGTCTTACAACTGTACAAGGGTTCACCACGCTAACTTAATACGTGTTGACAAACTTCACGTGTCCACGTATAGTTTTAATTTTTAAGAAATGCAAGTTTCTCCGCGTTTTTTTTTCTTCACCAATCCAAAGAATGACCAATCGCATAAATCAATTTTTAAAAACTGCTAAGAATCATTTCAAAAGTACCTGTGCTGCCGAACTAGAATTTTTCGTAGGTACTACGGAAATTACGAAAACTCTTTGCTCCACGCTACGAACAAATATTCAATTAGCATTTTCTAAGCGGTAGCGACAAATCGTATACTTTTCCAATATAAACCATAAAATATAACTAAACAAAGTCGATAATTTGGTATGGATTATTTGGTTATTATAATAACTTTTTGTGGTGTTAAATTGCATCAATCCTATGCATCATCCAACTACATGCATTTCTTGATTAAAAGCGTAAAACGTTGTACCTAACACATATCGAGTTTGCAAGTTAAATTTAAAGAGCTGAACTTTATAAGCTTATAGGATAACGTTAGCAAATTTAATGATTTCTTATATTTACGCGAACACTATACATTGATTAAAACTACTTTTACGGATTTTATCGCGTTTTATTTATATTAATTTTAATACCCGACGTTTCGGGTGCTTTCCAGCACCCATGGTCACGGGGGACTGAGGTGACTGACGTCCCGATGTCAAAGTTAACCCGGAGTACCTTCAGCTTTTTAATTATTATCTTTGGTCCGATCTACGCAGAATGAACTAACTGTATTTTGAAGTCTTGCAGTGGTATGCTTGGGTTTAGTTTTAATTTTATTAATTATAGGATCCCAAGCAGGTGGTAGTACCCAGCCTCCTTCTCTATTGAAATTAGGATGTTTTTTAATTTCAACAGCCTCACGTATCATCCTTGGTAGGAATCGATGTTCTTTCGCGAGGATTTGTGGTCTATCAAATCTGATGTAATGGTTGGGGCCATCTAGAATATGATCGCAAACTGCAGACTTCCCGGAACGTTGACGTTGCAGTTTGCGATCATATTCTAGATGGCGCCAACCATTTTTTATTTCATGGAGACAAGTTCTAGTTACCTACTTACCAAAATTTATTCATTACTCTGTAAGTTGCTTAGGATAGTGTAAGCGTAAAACTTTTAAAATGCAGAATCTACACACAGTTACTATCTATCTACGACAAAAAACCTAAACTGATAGCACACCTTATATATTAGCATAATCCTTTGTTTGCACGAAGCAGGAAGACAACCATCAAGTATTATAAGGCACGATGCAGATTAAAAATACAGTTGGTGGTATTAATTAATGTTGTCATTTATAAATAAGATATTGATTTACACTGTGCAAGGCCTAACCAATTTAAAAATGCAAGTGTTAGATAATAGTCTCACGATTCATCTTAACGGTACGGAATCAACAATACATGTTACATTAATTTAAAATTCTCAACACATTGTCGTACGTGGTTTAATATGGTTGTAGCACGAATGGGTCGACTCGACCGGGGAAGGACCACGCTCGCACAGAATACCAGTGTAAAATAGCAACTTAATGCTGCTGTATTTCGTACGATGAGTGTAGAGAACCGGAGACCCTTTTCATTGGCAACGCGGCATTCCATCTTAATCTTCAGGGGTGACAACGCATCTGCATTTTGAATCTTTATCGAGGATAGAA